TCAACGCAGCCCTAGAAGTAAGATGAAAGTAGTTCATCTGGATCGATTGAAGAGATACCAGACAGGAAACCTTGATCGGGACGATCAAATTTGAGAAGGGGGCAATGTCAAGAAAAATGGCGTATCCGCCAGAAATTAAAAATGTATTACTGGTTGCCTGCACAACCGCAACGTATCTGCCAGAAATTAAAAGACTTTTTCAGGCGCCATCTTTTAGTCAAGTCGAGAAGTAAGGGAATCAGAGAATGGAATTGTCTGGTATGAAGAAGTACGCTTTCCGAGAATTGGGGAAATTTCGAGAAGCAGTCAATAGAGTATATAAGCCGGAGCCATCGACAACTGAGGGAGTTTTTGAAATTTGGATATACCGCGTGGAAATTGAAAATCGGACAATTTGGTGAAGGAATCTTATAAATAGTTAGTTTATTGTGAGTTATAAGTTAGTAATTGTGTATAAAGTGAGAAAATAAATTCGTTAAGTATTTTATCGTGAGTTTAAATAGTGGACCCACGGAATCCGTAACAATATTTAAATATATTTAAATTTGCATGCTACAATAGAATAGATTAACACCCTGTACATTACTTTTCAGAATTAGTTCTTGTGCTGTGTTTAAAGGTAGAGAAATAAACTTTACAGAAAAATGTTATTCCTCCCTTAAATGTATACAGGGGTATCAAAAATTGCTGGCCTGCTATTTTAAATATTTATTTTACATAAAAACTTCGTTATTTCAAATGCAACACTATATATTTTTTTAAATAATTCGAAGCAGATTTAAATGTTCTTTCAACCTATATTAGGGTTTCCTATACCTATCAGGCTCAGACTGAATAAAAAGCGATTTTTCAATAAAATTGTAATCAAGATGGCTAGTCATGGCAAGTTTCTAGTGACAGTTAGTAGCTATTTTCTAAATCGAAATTAGTTTATGGACTTATTTAAATTGATACCAGTTTACTTTTATTTAATTTACCTACAATAGTTTAATAAATAATATTTATTAAATATGTGTTTATTATTCTATCAAGAAAAACGAAGAAGTAGTTCTTTGAATTATTTTACGATGACTTGTAGATATATAGATTTTCTATAAAAGAGCCAATTACGTCAAATTAATTTTCTTCACTTCCAACGATATGTTTCTGCCTAATAGGTTTTTTATAAACCATACTACCAGCTCTGCGAAATAGGACCAGAAGTTTTTCAAAGAAACGCTTATCAGGAAGAGTCGTATTTGGATATCTTTGAGCATAAGCCCTTGAGGCCAAGAAGCAATTTTCCTCACAAAATAATATCACTACATATCTATTCGTTTCGCCAGTAGATACTGCTTTATTTTTCTTGATGAAGTAATGAATATTTACTTATTAAACTATTATAGGAAAATTTAAGTAAACTGTTATAAATTATAAAGAATAATGTCCGTAAACTAATGTCGACTTTGAAAATAGTTACTAACTGTCACTAGAAAATTGCCATGGCGACACCAGCCATCTTGATTGCAATTTTATTTTAAAATCGTGTTTTATTCAAAATCTGAGCTAGATAGGTATAGGAAACCCCTAATATAATTTGAAAAAGCATTTGAATCTGCTTCGATTTATTAAAAAAAATACAAGGTATTGCATTTGCAATAACGAAGTTTTTATATAAAATATATCCTTAAAATAGATCAGCAACTTTTGATAGCCCTGTATAAATTTAAGGAACCAATATCATTTTTCAGTAAAGTTTATTTCTCTACCTTTAAACTCAGCATAAGAATTAATTCTGTAAAGTAATGTACAGGGTGTTAATAGTCTATTCTATTGTAGCATGCAAATTTAAATATCTTTAAATATCTCAAAACATATTTAACCCTTATAATAAATGCCTTTTTTTGGGCCCAAGAAACCAAAAATGAAATAAAATACCGGGTGTTCCATAAGAAAAAATATAACTTTGGTATGGATCTTAGTTCTGAAACACCCTGTATATTTCAAAATAATTTTAAATCGTGCATATTGTCTCCCCACATATACCCATAAAATATTTTGTTTCTACATCTTTCCGTTTTCGTATAATCAACCGAGGCGAATGAGGTGCCCCACCCTGTATAATTTAAAATACCGAGCAGCTCTTCATTTTACTTTATAGAGCAAATGATTGTAACAGATATTTTATTTAGATTAAAGCTGCAAAAATTACTTTAAACCGAATTTTATTATCGCCATGTTGGTCACATTGCGCCGTTGTCAGCAAGATTGTCGTCTATTATTTGACAATTATCCTAATGTCAGCCATTATTTTGTATAATATCGTGTTGTTGTTGAATCTTTGTGAGTAATTTCGTTCTTTTTGCCTATTTTCATAGTCTTTTTTTAAAAATTGTACTTTTAAGCACAAACAGTTCTAGTAAGAACTAAATTTTCGAGTTTTTGTATTGCATTTCTTGAAATTGTGCGTTAAAAATATGCCGAAGCGTTTAAACAGTTGGAGCAAAGAGCTTGTAACTTCCTTGATAAACTATTTTGAACGAGAACGTGACAATAAAGGTCCTTTATTACTCTTGACTGCAGTCAGAGAAATAAGTTTGATTGATAAGCACATTACACCACTTTCAAAGTTATTTATACGTTAGTTTTTTATTAAATTCTGTGATTATTAGTTTGTGCATTAATAGCACCCTCTTCTTGTTATTACCATTTATGGCGTTGTAAGATGTACATCAATTAATAAATAACCCATAATAACGCTTAGAATAATCTTCATGATGGACTAGTTTTTGCCAATATGTCATAAGTAAGTAAAATAAGCTATAAAACAAATAAATCAATTGATTACTAAAATATTACTTATTAAATTAAAAATAAAACGTAAAAATATTTAAAAAATGATATAATAAATATATTGTTTGATTGTTTGTCACTTTTAAATTAAGATTCGTCTCATAAATCCATCACAATCTGGCAGCGCTGTCGCCATCGTTTGTCACTCAATGTTAATCACGTGCATCGGAAATTGTTTTGCGGTTACCATATACACTATAGTTTAACTGATATAAATGATCGGATTCCATAAAATCTGTTGAGAAAATTCCAGAAGACAGGAGGAGACCAAGCATTCCTTCAATCATTCTAGTTCTAGTGTCGTTTCATAGAGCATAGACAAAATTAATACCGTGGCACACAAAGAGAAACGATATTCACTACCAATATGTTTACCAAGTGTTTACCAATCAGATAAATCCTGCAGATAGAAGAATATTCACGAGACTTATTTGGGCATACACAGAGGCACAATTGGGGGGGGCAGGGGGGGCTTATAAAAATACAAAATTTTTCTTGCCTTTAGAAAGATATAAATATAATATTAAAGGAATAAAGATTTAAATCACAAATCATTTTGAAAAAGGCTTAAATCTAAATTAATTAAATGTCAATTAATCTCTGTCTGAGTTTGAGACTAATTAATTAAGTCTCAAGTCAGCTTTCGAAAAATGACTTAATTCATTAAAATGATTTAACTAAAAAAAGACTTAAGTATTCGTGTGCTTGCAGCTCTGGTTTACATGTATCCGTCATGCGTGATTTCATGCGTCTTTCATTGATTTATTGCAATTTTATTTTACAGTTCATACTTAAATACGACGGAACGTCGGACAAGGCATTAATGCCTGTAACCCATACTTAGATTTTACAACAGTATAAAAACGTTCTTACTAAAAATATTTCCCAAAGACCACAACCCCGCGAAATTTCTTGGGGTCTTGGTCTTTGATGCAACAATGAATAAAGAATAATGCATAAATGTGTATTCTCACATGTATTAATAAAACTTAAACCTACATCAAGACAAATAAAAATAATCTAAGTCTCTACAACCTATATACAATCTATAGTGCTAAAAAAATACACTGTTTTATATCATAGAAAAAGTCTTTCTACATTTAGAAATGAATATTACAGTGGACGAAATTTCATTTTGATTTTCGGTTTTTTCTTTCTACTTAATTTTTTCTTATCATATTTCTATTTTTTTTCTACATTATTACAGCAATACACAAATTATCTTCGTATAAAATTATTAATTTTGCCTTTTGCGTTATTTACCGCACTAATATTCATCTAATTGTAAGCGCCAATGACATTATTTTACCCCCCCCCCCCCCCATTAGTGTTTCCAATTTTCGAGATCGGGATCCCGTTTTGAAATCCCGGGATTAGAACCTATAATCCCAGGATCCGGCGATCTCGAGATGACTATTAAAATGAGAAATTTAATTCAAAGGAATACTTAATAAAAATGCATCTACATATATTTCGTTCGAATTTGTCATATTTAGTAAGTAAAAAAATACCATTCTCGTTGGAAAAAATAAAATTTAGCACAAACACGGAAATATAAGTTTTAAATATTGACTGCTTAGTATAAATAAAACATGATCTTTGAAGACCAGACTTGGCTAGGCTTCAAGAGATTTTCGGGATCCCGGGATTTAACATTTAACATCGGGATTTCGCGATATATATACACAGGATCCCGGAATCCCGGTTTGGAGACCCCGCATCAGAAGACCTACGGACTTGGCCTGCCGATTTAGCCTACACGATGTGACAAATTATGTTCATGTGTCCAACGTTGGAAGGCGTTTGACACATCGTGTGGGACCGGCTTTAGAGATAAACGTGGAATCCTTCGATCGTTTTTTTGACCAATTCTGATCTAACAGATCAAGTCTGTGGATTTGGTCTGGGACACGCTCGGTCCGCCACAGGCTTGGCCTGCCACAGACTTGGTCCGTCACACAAACACAAAGTTTTTATTTACAGATCAAGTCCGCAGGCTAAATCCGCAAGCCAAATCTTCTGATGTATGGGGGGCTATTAGTTTATGTAGCCTTATTCTGTATTCTGACAACATACATACCAGTTTTAAATACCATAAAAAATATAGATGAGATCTTTATGGAAAAATATGTCTCATTACTGTATATGAAAATAATGTTTTAATATTCAACCTATATTTCTGATATTATTTTATTTGATATAATATGTATGTGCATTATTTGTACGTTTGATCAATTTTTTGAAGATATTAAATAAACTTAATATTATTTAATTTCAACATCCTAATTTCAAAACAGTTTTAATTAATCATATAATATCTAATTTAAAATTTCAGTTATGACAACATATGATTACATTTTTATTAAAGTGGTAAATGTATGTCATTAACTTAAAAGAAATTCTAACCACTGAGAAACAAACTTAGCAAAGAACATTACCTATACTTCGTATACAAAATCAAAGTATCTATATATATATACAAACTACTTATAACATACGATCGAAAAAACGGCGTCAAAGAATCAAGTCTGGGAATGACAATAGATAAAAAATTTTGCCGTGGTCAAGCCCTAGACGTTATTCACTTGGCCGCACTCTTCTTTGTTTTTTTTAATAGCATGCTCAACTAGAACTTTAAAGATTGGAGCTGATTTAAGTACTATGTCTGCAGCGTCTTGTCTCTCTAGTTCATGCAAACTCGTTATTAGAGCTCCTAAATAGAAAATGATCTAGTTAAATATCTATACTAAAAAGATATAAAAGTAGTCCTAAACTTGAACAACTAAAACTATTGTTATACTTGGAACCTATAATGTGTAACAAAATATAAAACAAGATATTCGAGAATAACTGACAGATCTAGTACGGCATATAAATCACACTAGACCGACTCGTTTTGGCGGGAACGCTACGCGCATATCATTGCGCACGCCGCCATTATGGGTGCCAGCAACAGAAATTAACCAGTGTCGTAGTCAGTCGTAGTTTTTGTCATCGACAACATACAGTTACGGCAGCTTTGAGTCAGTAGCGTGCGGCTTAATTTATTTCATTCATTTCTTGAGTGATATATTTTGTTTTTTTTAGTTTTATTTTTTTTATTGTGTGATATATTTAGTTTTTGTAGTTTTATTTTCGTTTCTTGTGTGTTATATTTTGTTTTTGTAGTTTATTTTTGTTTTTCTGAACATTTTTAATATAATAGTGGTTTGGTAGTGTATTATATATTATATCACTTATTAATAAAATATTGTTCATACCAATATTTTTAAGTTTAATAATTGCGTCAAATACAATTTCCTTCAAATGTTTACCTGTGCATGTAGTGTGATAAAAAAAAATAAGCTAGGGATTGCTTCTAATTGGTTTGGATACCACTTACCATAACAACCAGGGACACGCCGCCCATATGGGCAAAGTCGTGCGGCGCACGACGGCGCCCAAGCCCTAAAGGCGCCTGCGGTCACTGACTTTAAAAAATAATAAAACCATTTTTTGGAACTTATCAACAAATTAACATAAAATTTAAGTAATACTTTTATCTATGACCGCCAGTGGTGAAAATATATTATCCACCAATGTCGAGCGCCGCGCCGCTGGTCATTGGAAATTTTGGCTTAATATTATAATATTGGAGAAAGGCGCCTATCCTTATTTCGCACGACGGCGCCGAAAATACTTTTCGCGTCCCTGATAATAACATTACCCGAGCTGGTTTAAACTCGCTGTTCCCCTTCTCCTGGTCCTCAAAACCCACAATATTATCACGATCACTATTATAAAATAAGTTGAACTTGATATTCATATTATCAATACATAGAACACAATATCGATTAAGTTCATCCGGTTCATTGAAACTTTCAACTTTGCTTTTTAGAGTCTCAAATACACTAAGATTTTCTAAGCCAGGTTTGATATCGATGTCATATATTCATTTTCTTAGTGTCTCTGGGTCTCTGGACGTGGAAGGCAAAATAGATTTGTCAAAAGCGTCTTGTATATTTTTGGCCGGGAAAAGTATATATCGCCAGACATTTATATTTAAATTCATCAGTTTCTTCCTTTAGCTGATTTGTTAATTAGCGAAATTTGAATATTAACAAAATTTGCTACGTCCATTGATGGACATAATTTGTACGTAGCCTCTTTATATTGTTCTACAGATATTTTATTGGGTATTTCTTTAATTCTTGTTTGTAACTCCTGGTATGTTTTTTTAATTTTAATTGTCTATTCTCTACAGTTAAATGTTTAATTTATTTTATCATTTTTACTTTTCGAGGAGTATGCGCGGTTTACGATTTATTTGTTTTTTAGATAAAAGTATTGTGTAAATAAAATTCAGTTTCAGTCAATTACATTATTTTTTTAATACGACCCTGTCTATCAATAGTTTATTTTGTGGGAAATTTTTTGATACGTTTTAATCCGGCCCTGACTCGGCACCCATAATGGTGTTTTCAAGGTCAAATTTTATAGAAATTCTAAACAATGGAATCTGGGCAGATTTAGCCTGCCGTGTGCTTTATATGCCGTGTCTATAAAGTATAGAGCATGATAAAAAAGATTTATGATCAAGCGTGCTTTACTTTAAAACAATTAGCAATTGTTATGGGACATTTAATTTATTTTATATGTTAAGTCAAATCGCGCTTGAATAAAAAACTTTTTTATTACACCTTATTTTAATAACCAATGACGAAATAACACATTACTTAAGCCGAGTAAATAGAGAGAGCATCATATGAAAGGTGTTTCTTATGATTTTCTAAGAAAACTGATATTTATACACCACTTACCTACTAAAATGCATTACTTTTACAGTTACTTACCAATAGTACATTGAGAAGTTGTCAATAGCCTCATGGTGTGACTAGAATGTTGCGAATCTAATGCAGCTATTTTTTTCTGACAAAGTCCCAGTCTAAGAGCCAATAAGCACCAATCTCTGCCATGGGACTCTGGCGGATCCAATAAACCACAAAGTCGCAGTTTTATTGGTCCAGGTAATTCTTGAATACCCAAAATACAACCCCATTGGATGTGTCTGGCTAGACCAATATCATCTATAAGTGAAATTAAGGTAAGAAACAGAATTTATGTGTAAGTCCTAAATCACTATTTATACGTTTTCTATATTTTGGGATTTTGTTTTAAAAGAAATTTAAAAACATACTGCGATCAAAACTAAAACTGATTTACGAAACTGATGACATTATTGCCAAAAAGAACGCTAAGGCAATTTTTAAAAGACAAGGAGCTAGAAATGCCTACACCGAAATGTCGAAATTGTGTAAATTAGTATTGACAATAGGCAACTCAAAATAAGATCGCAGCGCCATAGCGTCGACGACTCGTACTAATCTATGGGCTGTTCCGCATCATTCCGCCATTTATTTAATTGTTTTCTTGTAGTTTGGGTTGCGTGTTTGGTGTCTGTTTTCGAGTTTTTTTAGTTGGTTTTGGACAGTTTTGTGGTTTGTGAACATTTTTTATTTGTTCAAAGACTTCGGTTTTCATCATGCGATTAAGCATTTTGAAATATATGCGGTATTTGGACGGATCCACACATTCCAAATGTGTGGTTGAAAAGGAAAATGTCCTTAATGCAGGGCATTTAATTTTGGTTGGGAAAACCGAATTCACAAGCGACTGGATTAATCTTTATGGTTTGTGTTTACAATCCAGTGCCATTAATTCGGATCCACATGAAATTAAGGGAACTTTAACCACTGAGGAAGCCACTGTAAAGATTAAAGAAATGCATTGTTCTTGTAAAGCCGGTAACAGTGGTAAATGCAAACATGTTTCGGCCGTTCTTGTAAAATGTGTGAGGTAAAATCAACATTTTTAGTTTTATTTTTGAGTTTGATTGCTATTTATTTGTATTTTGTTTAGAGAGGTCATTGAGAGTTTAGAAGAAATATCTCCAACTGACATAAAATGTGTTTGGTCAACACAAAAGGTAGTTACCAAAGAGCGATATAAGCCTGTTCCTGTAGATAAAAGGCCCTTTTTTTATAGACAAGGTAAAACATTCCAATATTGAAACGGATGACAATAGAATTAGGACCTTTTTTGCCAAAACCTGCCAAACTCTGCTACGTACATGCACAGAGTAGTAACTAGTTAAATAAATAAAAGATGTGTGTCTATATAATGGTAGTATTTATTTTTATGTAAATAGGTATAAAGTAAAAATATATTGTATGACTAAAAATAACATGCAAAAAAATATATGTATATTATTTAAAAAAAAATAAGTACCAAAACAGTTCAAAATATCAGTGCCCAATAAATCGTTAATAATAATATAATAAGTTGTTATAATGTCAACATTTTTGAGGTATTCACTTGCACTTCTGCATCCCTAAACTTTGGTTCCGTAGGTGGTGAAGAACGTTTTAGAGCTGTTTTCTGTAGCAACAGTATCTTCCTCGTCTTCTACGTCTTGTTCACATTCCGGATTCGGATTGGTTTTCTGTTTCTCTTCTACCAGCTCTACGGATATCCCTGGATGATGGAGCTGCCTCTGAGTCAAGCACTAGTGGCAGATTTTTTATGGGGACAGCGGCTTTCTTTAAAAATTTCTCCGTTTTTTTCTATCTAAAATAAAAATATCAGTTAGCCTTAGAATATCCTATAACCTAACAAAACCCACCTTTATGAAAATAATCTTGGTCTGAAAAATGTAATGAGCACACTCGCATATGATCTGAAACTTTCTTTCCAATTTTCAATGCCTTAATCCAAATTTTTCTTCGATCCACCAGCTCTGTATTTCCAAGTTTGGTTTCCACAATACTTTCGACAATGGTAGCAATACGTAACTGAACGAAGTACTGAT